TTAAGCTTATGGACATCATACCTTATGATGTACCATATATCACTTATCCACGTGGTACCTTACCACTTTCCGTATTACTCTTAAGTGCACCGTACCTTACGGTGTTCCTTATTTATTCTATCTCTCATCAACCTGTTCTTATGTGTGTGACCCTGTAGGTTTTCGCGACGTTGACAATTATATTAAATCACACATTTAATATAATAAACAGTGAGCGGTATCTAGCAACACATCACTGTTACCCAAGTCACGAAAATGTCATGTGATCTGACCAAACCTTTTCCGTGATAATATTTGTGTTGTACAATTACCCTTTTTCCCTCATGTCTATATTGAACACAAGGCATATATTGTGTCACCCTTGTCCAGTTCAATATTGGGCCCTTAGACATTTATCCTGTTATGCAGGATGAGCAAATTCCATCTAGGTCACTCATGTCCCTTAGCATGCTTTGTGAAGTACCCATCAACCGTCTTTATAGTCATCCAGTTACGGATGACGTTTGATCAACAATAAAGTACTTGACTCTACATCTAGGGTCCATAGTGGTTTCAGGTCGAAGGGTGGTATACACCATTATCATCATGAGAATAACTTATGACACTTTGCATAACATTCTATGTAATATTCTCATAGCGGGTCAATCCAGTATAAATATTACTCCTAATATTCATACCTATGTCAAGACTTGATAACTCCTTATCTATGATCCATGAGATGTGATCATCAATCTATCTTCATAATAATCTTAATGCTTTGATGTTATCCAACTTCACATTAAAGCTTGACTACGGATACTTTAAGAATAGTGTCTTATGTTTAATGGGATCTCATGATTAAGTCACACTTAACATTTCATTAAATAAATAAACCATTCTAGGGACTTTATTATTTTGGAAAGCAAACATAATAAAGAAATGCCTTTTATTATTAATAAATAATTCGATACAAGTACCAAAAGTATTGGCCTCTAGGGCTTACACCAACAGTATAATGTCATGTCTGATATGCATAATCATGCGTTGGATACCAAGCTACACAGGCATCCAATTGTATGTCAGCTTAAGACGATAGAGGAGGAATTTATTTTAGAATTGTTGTTGATCAAAGTTGCACCGAGAAACATACTTTTCGGTTTGAAACAGAATAAACCGAAATGTGTTTCAAATATCAAGTCGGTTTACAATCATCCTTATAAATAACACATTACACAAAGAGGTCCAAGGTCCGAAATGCAACATTTATTGAAATGTTAGGACGATAACTACTATGTTTCGAGGTATAGAGTTTGTGAGAACAAGGTTAGTATTCGTGATATTTTTTAGACTCATCCAGAAAGTATCAAGTTATTTAACACATTTTCAATCGTCCTTATGATTGATTCGACGTATAAGACCAACAATTATAGGCTTCCGCTTCTAGAAATTTTCGGTGTTACATCTACAAAAAAGATATTTTCGGTTGGATTTGGTTTTAGGAATGTGAGAAAGAAGACAACGTCACTTGGATGTTGGGTATATGCAAGACTTTGTTGAAGGGTCCAAAAAATGTGCCTAAGGTAATTGTTATCAACCGAGATAACGCACTTACGAATGTGGTTGACACTGTCTTTCCTTCATCAACCGTATTACTTTATCGGTATCATATAACAAAAAATGTAAGAGCACGGCTAAAATCCTCAGTTGGCACCAAAGAAAAAAAGGGTGCAGATGGAAACATGATCAAATCAAGTGTTGTGGTGGAGAAGATAATGGGTGCATGGACTAATATTCTTAATTCTATTGTCGAAGAGTTATATACTGAGAATACAGCACACTTCAGAAACTTGTGTGTCGAGTATCCCTATTTCTTGAAATATATTGAGTCTACTATCCTTGATCAAGTGAAAGAGAAAGTTGTATGTCATTGGACGGACCAGGTTAGACATTTGGGTAACACAACAACTAATAGAGTGGAATCTACACATGCGACGTTGAAGAAGTGGTTGGGTGATAGCAAGGGTGACCTTTGTAGAGAATGGGACACAATGAACCAAATGCTCCAAAACCAACATAATGAAATTCAAACAACTTTTGGTAGGAGCAAAACTGTATTAGAATACTATTTCAAAGGCAACACTCTATACGCACAGTTGGTTCACAATATATCCCGAGCGGGTTTGAATTTTATCTATCAAGAAGCGAAGCGATCAGAAATGACGGGGCCAAATAGTTTAAAGTGTGGATGTACAATTAGGACGACTTACGGGCTTCCATGTGCTTGTGTTATTTCTAAAAAAATAAGCTAAATTCTCCCATATATATGGATGAGGTTTGCACGCATTGGAAAAAAACTGTTTTGATGACTACGAGCAAGTAAAGGAATGTACATCCAACATAACCATCATAACCGAGTTGGAAGTGATAATGGATAGATTTTCTAAAGTTGGTGACTCTATGAAATTGCACATCAAAGAAATTTTAAGGAAAATTGCGTTTCCGAAAACCACCGATTTGAAACCTCCATCGCAACCGGTAAAAACAAAAGGTGCGTCTAAAAAAGCGAAAAGTTCTTAGGGTGACAGTTCAACAAAGCGGACTCCTTCTTACCATGAAGTTGTTGATTCTATATTCCTGAATCCTCCAACTCCAAAACCCAAAACAAGTGTTAACAAAGGAGCTCGCGTTTCCAAACCACCTCGTATACCGCCTATTATAAAATAACCACAACCACCATCGGTTATCTATATTGATGAGATGCCGCTTTTTATGCACAAACACATTGAACGAATCATGGATGTGGAGAGTGATGGTAATTACGGGTATCATGCCATGTCTGGGTTATTTGGTAAAGGAAAGGAAAATCACACTCTTGTGTGCCAAACACTTATTTCGGAGTTGATGGCGCGTAGTGAACTCTACACTCGCCTATATGTGACTACAGAGAAATTTAATAAAGTTCACCATACTCTTGCTCCAAGTGTTATAGTTCGCGCACCAGTTGCTAAGTGGATGAGCTTCCCTGAAATGGATCATGTTATAGCAAGTGCATATGAGAGGGTATGTATCGACTTGACGAGGTATGGATTTTCATAAACATTTTTTCCTCTACGGACTCCCCCGCTTGAAGATTCATCCGACCGCATCAGGTGTATTGGATACCTTAGATCACGCTATTTTGTTCAGGTTTATTTGAAATCGGTTTCTATACCGGCTACATCCGTGGAATGGACGACACATCATATAAAAGAGGCGAAAACTTGGTCGAATCACTTTTTGGAAAGAATGGTAGAGTTCACCAATTTGGTGAAGCTTGAGAGAGAATCAAATAGGAAGAAGTCAAAGAAAGAATCGATTTTAGATTTAAGCGGTGAAAATTCGTTTGGTGCATTTTAGAATGTAATCTAACCATTTTTTGAATGTATTATCGATCACATTGTAAAATCTATACGTTTTAATACATATATAATTTATTATCTATATTTAGTATTACAATTATTTACTTTTTCATGCACTTTTGTACACAATAATGAAACTGTGTTCTGGTTCTGCATAACTCGAAAGTGTACTTCTAAATTAAACCTTCAATTTAAAGAAAAACAACACAGGACTTACTTCGGATATGAACTTCTGAATTCACCTCTTATTTTTATTAAAATTGTGGTGTCTTCAGATGTGGATGTCTGAAAACTCCTAATTTTGATAAAAATAAGGGGAATTCGAAAGTGCATATCTGAAATATGTCCTGATAAGAATTCTTTGGTCCATATTGCTCCAAAAAGGCTATAAATTGGATTTTCCATTCTATTTCTTTATTCATCACATACCACAACCAGAAATGACACGAACATATTCACACCTTGCTTTTGTCTACTTCAGTGGTGCGCAGTCGCCACTTCAATTTAGGTTCTCGCAGGACACGTCATTCGTCAAACTCATTACCATATTGCATTTTCTCTTGCAATATCCAGAGAATCGAAAGGTGGTCAAGCTTGAGTATCGTTCACCTTCGATTGACACTTAAGGTAACATAAAGTTCACCCCGTTTGAACTCAAGAGCGACGACGATTTATAGGTTATGTAGGATAACTTTCAACAATACTCTTCTAAAGGTCCGATTGAGATAGATGCAAAATTTCAAAGATCGACATAACATATTATCAAGATGTTGCAACATCCTCAACTACCCATTTATAACAATATGTAACTTTAATTTTCTACATAACTATTTTTGTAACTTCTTTGAATTATGTTGAATAAATGTTTTGAATTATGTTCTGCCCAAGTATAAATTCGGATATACATATATCTGAAAATGTCTAACAGATGACTTCAGATATGTATATCCGAAGTAAATTTAATAATTCATATTGGTGGTCCGTTCGGAGATACACTTTTGAATTCTGAGAGTATTTTGGAAATTTCACCAGAGATCCTAAAAAAATGCACTATTGTAGAAAGAAATTCTCAAGTATCATTACAGTTGACAGTAAAACCATATTAACATGCACACATACAAATTCACAGACTAAGTTTTTCAATACTTTTTATACCATAACATATAAACCACTTTTCACACTTAGCTACACCCAAAAGACATTTGCGCCATTTTTCTTTGTATTGTGTATAGCAGATGCCCCAAGATCGACATAATTATAGAGCAAGTGATACACCAAATTAAACGAAAGGAGAGAAGTCATGCACGTCTAGTATCCGATTTTCAGTTTCTTTTTTCTTCATCTTCAATATTCTATTCTGGCTTTGAGATGTTTGTGTCACTTCCATAGGCTTTCTTTCACCATAGACTGTGGTTTCACAGTTCTACCAGAAATGGATCCTCTTATGTGAGATCTTTACATGAGAGGGAGAAGTATGATCTCACAGTCACACCAATCAAGAGAGATTAAAATGGTGCAGCTCCATTATCAACCCTTCCCGCAAACCAAAATGACTAGTTCCATCACTAGAAACAACTTGAGCATCAGGTTTAAGCTACACATCTTGGCTCTTCCATCACTCCTTTACAGTGTCAACTTAAATCCTTGAGACAAGAAATCGTCCCTGAAAAAATAAAACATGAATCTCATACAAGTAAGCTCAACAATATCATAATAGAATAGTGATAAAAAAAAACAAATCTTTGAAAGGAACTATACATAAACTTTGAAGTGATTTCGTGAGAAAATTTCGAAACAACAACATCCTTCTCTTTACATAACCCAATTCATAGAAAAGGATAAATGGTCATTTTTGTTTCTTTTGAAATCCAGCATACACACATTGTCAGATACATATACACAAACAAAGGTAGAGTCTTCAAATCATTTTCCTATAACAATATTTATATGTATATATACAAATTATACAATGGGGGATTGAGTTTAACAACAACAATAATCAGGCTTTATCCTCTACTAAGTGGAGTCAGCTACATAGATCAATTTTTGCCATATTCTATCCAAAACTCTAATTGATCCATGTCATAAAGATTCGACAAATATATTGGCCGTCGACTGCATAGCACAGCCCTCTCCTTTTATCCAGGCTTGGGACCGACTATACATAACAAAGCTAACACATAACATTACAGATATGAGATATCACATACTAAGTTATAGATAGCAAAAATTCAGATAAACAATAAGTACCTTCTATTGCTTATACTTTCGCATCTCAACTTATGCTGAATCTCCTTCCTATAATTATCCATAGGTAAGGAAGGTGGTACAAGGCTTTCAACACAAATCATGCCTTCATTCAAACTAGGAATCCCTTGAACATAAACAACTTGTCCAGTCTTAAAATCATACCAAAACAGCTTCTTCCGATCCACTTCCAATAGAACCTTACTTCCATCCTCCGAATAACCCAGAGGCCTCAATGATTTCAAAGGCAAAATAAAAGACGATTCCACCAAAGTAAACAGTTTACACCAACTATCTCTAGATCCATATTTCCTCATCACCCAAACATCAACTTTACTAGCTTGATAATTGACAATCATACAAAGACACCCTCCCAAAACAGCAACATCAATTTCAAAACTCCCACTGTTATCAACTTCCGGAAGAGGAACCTCTTGGAAAACCTCGAAATTAAACGCAACGATTAAATCAGGCTGAAACGGCTCGAGCTTCCGAGTCACAATCCAGTGGAGACAATTCTCAACCAAAACCCCCATGGTTCTCGCACAGCAAAGAGCATAAGGCATACTCGGAAGCGCTTTCCACGAATTCGTCTTCGAACTGAAAACCCTCACTTGCGAATCGAAATTCCGCCGTTGCAGATCAACGAAATAAGAGATTCTCACCAGCTTATAATCACAAGCAAACGGATCGAAACCGAATCCGTGAACTCGAGCGGCGAAGAGAGATGTATCCGACTCGGAACGAGGAGAGATAGGTAGATAAGGGATGATCCGGTGTTTGCGGATGTTAGGGTTCCAGAAAGCGATGTCATCGGCGATGTTGGAGATGCAGAGGATACCGTTGCATGAACCGAAGAGAGTGATGCGGTTGCTGTAACACATGAGGGGGTGGTTGAGGGGAGTAACGGTGGTGAGGGTGGGGAAGTTGAGTTGGTAGAGATCGGAGTTGTGGCGGAGGATGAGGGTGGAGTTGGAGGAGTTGTGGAGGTGGAGGTTGATGAAGTTGTGGGAGTCGATTAGGGAGCGGAGGGTTTTGGAGGATAATCGGAAGCGAATGAGGGAGAGGACTGGGAGTAAGGAGAGGATGTCGGTGAAGAGTTCCGACGGAATATTCGCCATTAGAGAGAGAGAGAGAGAGAGAGAGAGATGATTGAAGTTTGGGGTTTTTTTTGGATGGAAATGAAAGGGAAATGGATGAGGTTTGGGTTTTGGTTGGGGATTAGGTCGACACGTGATGGTGGAATGGGGAGAAAGTAATGATGTTGACAGGGAAAGTTTGTGCAGCCAAGTGTTTACGAAAAGGTGTGGAGGGAAGGTGAGAGGAAATTGCTTGAATTGAATTGACTATGCTTTCTTTTCTTGTTTTCTACGGCAAAATAGCTTTGTTTTTGTTGTAGAAAAAATGGATGTGTACTATTTGCTCCAACAAAGGCTTAGCCTCTTACCCGTGAACTTTCTTAATTTTGTCACCGGATTCCTTGTGAACATTTCTCTTTCTATGATTCTACATTTCAAACTTCAATTATCATTAACAAAAGGTAAATTAAATTTGTTATTCTTATGCTAGGTATATGTTTGGTTCCACTTCTTGTAAATTGATTCCGGGTGATATCGAGGTGTTTGGTTATTCAAAAGTTGAATTGATTTTGTTTTTAGAATTTGTTCTACTTGAAACTAGAATATATAATTTCTGTTGGAATTAAGTGACCTAATAGTCAATCTGATATACATATTCCTAAAGTATTATATATATATATATTACATGCGGAAACTTGATAGTCATACTAGCATGTATAAAAATGAATAATATAATCATGAGAGTTGAGAGACAAACAATGAATATCTGATGACTTGTGTGTTTCTTCTTTAACCAGTATTCCTAATACCTTGAATACTCTTCGGATGGGGAAAAGAGATAATTTGTTAGCGTACGGTATTTGGTGTTTGCTAGGATTTTCAGAAAGAGAGAAATCCAAACCAAAAGTTGAAAAGATTCTTTTAAGAGCATTAAAGAGCATTAAATTATGAAGAGTCGACTACATAGGCATGTCGACCATGGATGACCTCACAGGCAGTTGACCAAGGTTTCGTAAGTGCAATCGATCAGAGAAGAGTTCATGGTGAATGAATTGGACCCAAGAGAGGTAAGAAGCCCAAAAGGGTTAAAAGGCCCATATGCGCCTAAACTGCAAAAACGAAACGTTATAGAGGGAAAATGTGGGTTTGATATCAGGAGTTAAAGAGAAGTTACAATAGAGAACGTGGGTTCGACAGCGAGAATGGAGAACGTGATTTCGTGAGGGGAAGTTATGAAGAACACATGGCATGCAAGAAAATGAAGCTCACTTAAAAAGTAGTTATTTATGTGTATTATAAATAAAACACTTAGTGTACTTTGTAAAGGGTCAAACTTTCACATTCCTGCACGCTAGTCACTCAGAGTAACCAAGCAAACGAGCGAAATGAGTCAAGCAAAGACAATGTATGTTTGAACCAACTTATTTTCAACCTTTCTTTAATGTTATGTCATTACCTTTTACAATTTGAAACGTTTTTTTTGTCTTATTTACTTTGTCTTTTATCAAGTCGTTTGGCTCTCAGTCAAACGCATCTTTTTGAAAACGCTTTAACTACGCACACAAACACGAACTGAAGTATTGTACCGAGATTTCCTAGTCGATCTCGCCAGTAAACTTGTTTTAAAGAGACCAACGTTGTTTACCAAATCCATAGGTAAACAATTGGGGATCATAGCCTATATATAGTGTGATAGCCAATTAGGATTCTCATTATTCTCAAATAGGTCATCTTGACATCCACTCATATTTGAACTCATACTCAATTATTTAATTATTTAATTCATTAATTTCTAAATAAAATCTAAATAGCCTTTTTAACATTATTTGATCACATAATTATTTTTAGACACTTTATTTAATAATATAGATAATATAATTAAATAAATATATTTGGTCACATAATAATTGGAATGCTAATATATGATTAAATTATTAAAATATTCCAATAATCTCTCACTTGACCAATATATCTTAATAATTATATCACAATTCTTTAGGCGTACATTTGAATGCTATTTATCTTTAGATTTAAACTTTACAATCTGGTCTACCTCATACATCAATAATGGGACCATCGCGGCTGTCATTACTAACATATAACGTGACGAAACCCCGACGACCACCACATCAATGTACTTGATGACATAGATCGATATGGATGAGTGACATGAAAATTTCATGTAATGTGATCTCTAAATCATACAAATTTACAACTGGTCCTACTGGAGTCTTTAGTGAGATCAAACTGAAGTTCCTTAGGTGCAATTCAAAATTACAATATTTGCACTCAACGAAAAATTGATATTGTTATAACAATAGTACCTCATAAGTTTTTATTTATGCAGAAAATTAAACATAACATAGAGTTTGTACCAAAATAAAACCAAAGTATAGAACATAGAAAAATAAGAAGAAAAAAACTCCCACTAATCTAAGGCAATCTCAAAACTAAGACTCATTTGACCAACATGCCCATGAAAAGCCTTAGGTGTCAAATCTTTGGTTAGTAGATCAGCTACCATTGAGTATGTCCCTATATGTTTTATCAAAATTTGTTTCTCCTAAACTCTTTCTTTCACAACAAGATACTTGATATCAATAAATTTTGATTTTGTAGAATTTATATTGTTGTTGGAGTAGAGAACAACTGCACCATTGTCACAATAAACCTTCAAGGGCATTTCAATACTCTCAACGATGCGTAGGCTGGTGAAAAAGTTCATGTTGGCTAAGATTTTCATAAAGAGAGAAATTTAAACCAAAAGTTAAAAAGGTTCTTTTAAGAGCATTAAAGAGCATTAAATTATGAGGAGTCGATTACATAAGCATGTCGACTATGGATGATCTCACAGGTAGTCGACCAAGGTTTTGTAAGTGTAGTCAATCAGAGAAGGGTTCATGGTGAATGGATTGGGCCCAAGAGAGATAAGAAGCCCAAAAGGGTTAAAAGGCCCATAAGCGCCTAAACTGCAAAGGGGGAGCGTTATGGAGGAAAAATATGGGTTTGATATCAGGAGTGATGAACATGGGATCATGGAGGCAAGTTATGAAGAACACGTGGCATGCAAGAAAATGAAGTCCACTTAAAAAGCAGTTATTTCTGTGTATTATAAATAAAGCATTTAGTGCACTTTGTAAAGGGTCAAACTTTCACATTCATGTATGCTAGTCACTCATAGTAACCAAGCGAACAAGCGAAATGAGTCAGGCAAAGATAATGTATATTTGAACCAACCTATTTTCAACTTTTCTTTAATATTATGTCATTACCTTTTACAATTTAAAATGTTTTTTTGTCTTATTTACTTTATCTTTTATCAAGTCATTTGGCTCTCAGTCGAACGAACCTTTTTGAAAACACTTTACCTACCCACACAAATCGAAGCATTGTACTGAGATTCCATGGTCGATCTCGCTAGTAAAATTGTTTTAAAGAGACCAATATTGTTTACCAAATCTATAGTTAAACAGTTCCACAACCAAATTGGATGATTTGATGTCTCAAAGTAAGCCACAAACTGTACTACTATGGTAGAAGGAGCCACTAAAGTCTGTTTGGAAGACTTCCAGGAGACGGCTCCTCCAGCCAAGAGAAAAATGTAACCAGATGTGGAGTGTATACTATCCGGGCATCTTGTAAAATCTGAGTAAGAATATCCGATGATCTATAAGTTATCTGACTTTCGATAAGTGAGCACAAAGTCTCTTATTCTCTTCAGGTAGCGCATTACATGCTTTACTGTTATCCAATGTTGCATACCAGAGTTGCTTATATATCTTCCAAGAACTCCTACAATGAATGCTAAGTCGGGACGGGTGTAAACTTGACCATACATAAGACTTACCACAGCTGAAGCATATGGAACCTTATGCATTTCTTCCTTTTCAAGATCCGTAGTGGGAAACTGTTTGAGATAAAACTTGTCTCCTTTAGCAATGGGTGTGTCTCATGGTTTACTATCTTTCATGGAGAATCTATCCAAAACTGTATTAATATAACTCCTTTGCGAAAATCCTAAAATACCTCTAGGACGATCTCTAAGTATTTGAACTCCTAAGACAAATGAGGCGTCCCCAAGATCTTTCATCTCAGATTTATTTGTGAGAAATCTCTTAGTTTCGTGTAATAAGCCTATATTCTTGCTTGCCAAAAGGATATCATTTATGTTCTACCCCAAAATTTTCCCTCCCATTTTTTATTCAAGATACTTTCTCATGCTTCTAGAGTTCTCAATTGCTCAAGGTTGCTCAAGAAGTGATCAGACAAATTCTCCTCCTAAGCAATTGGCCTATAAATAGGGTTTCATCTTTCTCAAGGAAAGTTGAGCTTATGATGCTTCAAGTGGATTTCATGGTTTCTCATATGTCTCTAAGAATGCTCATGCCAAGTTCCAAGCCTTGCATCACAAGTTTGCTCAATCAATTGCTCAGATGACTGAAAATCAATTTTATTGGACAAAAAGTCAATTGTGGTCAACATACAGTCAAACCTCAATATTTTTGGTCAACATCAAGATTTTGAAGTTACATTCATCATTTTATCAAGGGTTGATCATGCTTTATCAAGAAAACTCAAGATTCATCAAAAGTCAAAAGTTACTAAATTAGGTTTTTTTTAAGGAGAAGTCAAATGAACTTTGACCAAGCACAACTTTCACATGCTTCATCATATCTTTCTCAACCAAAGCTCATTTTGAAGTAAATTAAATTCTCTATAACTTTGTCTATCTAAGCTAAAGTCCAAAAAATGCTTCATTTGAGAGGTATGGGACAAAACATTATAAGTTATTTCAAAAGTCAACAAAAATACACTTTTTGTCAAGGAAACTTACATCAAGATAAAGTCTTCAAATTCTAAAATGAGCAACATAGAGATTGTATAGGACACCTTGAGCTTTCCAAAAAGTCATAGATCACCTTCATATGATAAAAATTGAGAGAGTTATGATTGATACAAGTTGGGCAATTTTGAGAAAATGCATAAAACCTAAATTGAGCAAACTTGAAATTTTGGGCTAGTGGGCTGATCTTTCAAGGTCC